ACAATTGGAAATTTTTATAATTTTTATAATTTCTATAATTTCTATAATTTTCATAATTCTTATAATTTTTATAATCTCTATAATTTCTATAAACTTTAAAAACTATAAAAATTTCTATAATTTCTGTATTTTTCATTGTTTTTATATATATATTAATTAATCAGATTTTATAAATTATTATTTTAATATAATTAATTATAAATGTAACATTTATGAATAGAAAATATTTATTATAAATAAAGTGTAATTGAAACTTTGAAAAAGATATCAATTGATCAATACAAAAATTTAGCTAATCAATAAATTGCTTCTTGTTTATTATTTAATAAGAATTGTATATTAATTGATTTTATAATTATTAATCTTGTTATAACACTTACTTTATAAACTACTGAATATTTAACCAAGTTGCTATAGAATATCAGTATTGTATTGCTATAGAACTGTCACTATACTAAGTAAATACAAAGAAAAATATTTATTAATAGTAGTGTTACTTATTCTAAATTGATAGAATAAAAGAAGTCACATAGTGTCACAATTCTAAAACAATTGAATCAAATTATAAACTTATCGAAATAGATATTAATTGAATACTTATATTATGAAATTATCTACTTGAGCCTGGAACTCATAACAATGATAACAATATAAATTTTTAGTATGCAAGAACTAATTGCACTTGTTTTATTTACTAAAAAACTTTAATACTAAAAATATCAAGAAATTCTTGAAATATACTTTTTTCTCATATTTTTATAGCAAATTGTAGATTGTGTTTTCAATAGAATAACTCTCCAATTCACAATGCAGGTAAAATAATTAATTTTTTTATTACTGTGATATTCAAATTCTTGATTGACCTTTTTACTCATCAGATATCAATTCCATCAAGAATTTGTAAGTTATACTTAAGAGAAAAATAGAAAAAAAGGTAAATTTATGGTTAATAAAAAAAACTTTTAATAATAGAATTTCAAATAATAATACAAACAGAATGAATGGATTTGAGTAAAAATCTCTTTCTTTGATTAGCAAAAAGTATGAAGAATTATATTTCAGTGGTGATTGAACAGGAGAGAAAAAATTGACTATTAAATTTTTGTAAATACAGTTAAATTCCTCTATAGTCACACCTGTTTATAGTTACACCTCTCTATAGTCACTCTATTTTGCTTTTCCATTTACATATAAACATAATAAAAAAAACCTTTCTATAGTCATATTTGAGAATGTGCATACAAAATTTTCGCACATGTTAATAATAAAAATAAAATGTCTTATCTGTTATAATAAATTCCAGATATTTATGTCGATCACTGTACTATCGCTATGTATAGTATAAGAATTTATAAGTAATAAAAAATATGAAGTATAGATAGAATTAATAATTTTTTTGGCTTAATAATGATAAAAGTATGCTTAAATTAATGAAAGAGTAATATAGTAAGCTAGTATTTTACAGAATTTACAGAGAATCTAAATCCTTAAATCTATCAACAAAAATTAAATGAGTATTTTTTCAAAATATAAAATAATTAAAGAATCCATACATACAGTACAAAAATTACAAAAAAACTACATCCACGAATTAAATTTTAATTTTTTAAGCATGTATCCTTGATTGTAAGCATTTTCCCAGAAGTCATTTGCATTTTTAATAGGAGTTAATTTTTTATCACTCTCGACTTTTTCAACTTGACACTCTGCAGCTTTTTCAAGTACAAACTTTTCGAGAATTTTCAATCTTTCAATGATTTCGGCTATCTCATCTCTTGTCAAATACATGTATTTATTAGATAGCGTGAATTCGTTGTCATACCAATTACAAAATTCCTTAAATTTTGTCTCTGTCAATTGCGTAAATTCTTCGTGATTTTTTGTTTGTGGCGATTGTTGATTTTCTGTATGTATTTTATTTTAACTCAATTAAACGAGTTATTGAGCAATATTATTTCATTCAAGAGTTGAAATCGCTTACTGCTTTTAGTCTTGCGCTCTGCTGAATTTTGATAATGTGGATGATTTAATAATAAGTACATTAATACATGTATACCATAATTAATAAATAATCAAATAAAAAATATAGAAAAATTATTAGAATATTAACTTTCATGAACACTGGAAGAAGATACACATCCCATATTTTTACGTAGATTCTTTTGGTTTAAAATATCGTCGTTCTTTTTCTTATTACTGTTACAGAAACAGAACAAAAGAAAATAGAAGTCAAAAAAGTATTCTTTTTCATCGTCACATCGCATTCCATATAAATATAGATTATTTATAAAATAGGCACTTTAATGATGCACTTACACTCTTGATGACAATTAGAATGTAAAATGTTAAATGTTAAATGTAGATGAAACGTATTCAAAAGGATACCATTCAAAATTAACAATGTTATTCTCAAAGCTTAAATGCTAAAATGTACATTTAATTCAAACAACGAACATTAATACGATAATAAATTGAATTCTATTTGGTTATGGCATTCCGTATATATTGTATCATAATGCAATATACAAAAAATAAAATAATAGAGTGTAATAAAATTTAATAAACTTTAATTTGAAAGTTTGTTTATATTACTCAAATAATTGTCTTGAACCAAACCCTAATCCGAATCCACAAATTGCCTTACATGCTGGAATTCATTGTGATCTATTATTTGCACTAATCAACAAAAATTTTAGGTCAATTTTTTTAATATTGCAAAAATTAATAAATTAATCCTTATTAATTGCCATTATTGTATATTCTAGAATGCAAATCGGATTTAAAAATATAAATTCGAATTAATATGTTTCCAATTCTGGTTTTAATTCGAATTATCGGTTTTAAATAAATCCGGTTAAATACATAATCCGAATATCCCGGTTTTAATGATCTAAACTTTAAATTTCAGAGCACCGTCGATTCAGCCAAGGTATCCAAACAGTAATTTTTCTTTTTTTTTCACTACAAATGATGTAAAATTTTGAGTATTTGAAGGAGATATTGTATCAGAATTGGTCATTCTAGTTTGAGTAGTTAATCCGAAGGAAATAGAAGAAGTTCTAGATGGACGAAATGATGTGAAGTTTTCAAAAATTTGAGGAAGTTCAGAAACTGGGAGTCATTATCTTCTATTGAATGAAAAGTTGAACTCATTTTAAATAAAAAAACCGAATTTAAAAAACGAATCCGAATTAGTTAGACTTTGAAATCTCAACCGTATTTAATTCGAATCCGAATCAACCGAATTTAAATTAAGAAATCCGGTTTCAAGTTGCACCTCTATATAGTACAGTGGCCCGCATAAATAACGCACCACTTGCATCGCTAATCGTTGATCACCTGATTTTCACTCACATGCAATCCGACGAACGCAAAATACATGTACTAAATAGATAAATAACATCTAATACTGTGCTACAAATGGTAAATAAACAGAGACATATTGTTATGTCAGTTCGTCTATAATCCATGTCAATCCGCCAAAGTGGTGGTGCGTTTTTTTTGCCGTTTTTATTTTTGCGTTCATCGGATTGCATGTGAGTGAAAATCAGGTGATCAATGATTAGCGATGCAAGTGGTGCGTTATTTATGCGGGCCACTGTAAATCATTAATCGATTGCACACTGAAAATTTAGAGGGATTGAATCACATGTTCACCACACTTTAGCGCATCGAATAATCGTAATCAATCGATCTGATCCGGATTAGACCGATTACGGATCAAACGATTCGTATCACTATTTGAAAGAAGGCATTCATTTCTTGTATTTCATTTTTTTTGATTTTTTTGTGTGTCTGCGATGTACGAATTTCAATTTTATTGAGATTGTTTGTGATTTTGCAATTAATCAGGCAGTAGTAAAACAACAATTTGCGTTTGTGTTTGTAAATGATTATTACTATTGTTAAAAAGTCGGAAGGAAAGGGGAAGGATACGATTTGATTAAGAATCATCTCGGAAAAATTAAATTAGGTTTTTAAAACAAAGAAAAATAAAAAGTAACAAAAAAGAAAATTGCATCTTATTTTTTTCCTATACTATAAATATAAGTAGGGAAAAGGCATAAATTATAAAAAAAATATTAATGATTAGCGACGATCCAAAAAAACAAGAGGAAAAAAAACGCGCGAGAAGAGTGATGAAGAGGTGAATTCAACGCGTCGTGTAGTGTACGTGTTTTTTTGTATGAATTTTTTAAACAAGAATAATGTTTTTTTTTTTGAGATGGTAGCCAGTAAAAGATTAAATGGAGCAGGGAAACACGTGTGTTGCCTAAATCACAAATAAGCAAAACACTACTAAGCTTAAACTAATAATATTCTCAATCGAAAAAATACATACACACGATAACGAATATTACACGACATCTGTTGGTACGAAATAATCTCAATGGGACAGAATAAAGAATATAAATACGAAAAAAACGAATATTAAGAACCGTGACAAATATACAAAGGTGGAATAATTTGGAAAATGGATAAAGGTACATTTATTAATTTGTGTATTATTTGTGCGTGTGATTTTGATTTTTTGGTGTGTGTAAAAGAAACATTACAATCAGTAATTTTTTTCGAGACCAGCGAAAAGAGTGATATAAAAATAATATAGTATAATATAATCAATATATAATATATAGCTTGGAATGCGTTCAGAAAATCGAGTGGTGAAGGAAAGTGAGAGAACATCCAACCCGTCACAATCAACTGACGTCTCCCAACACATACATTATCAAATAGATGATTTGAAAAGAACCAAAAGTAACAAAGCAATAAAAAATAAAATATCCCATCTATATACAAAGAAAAATTACATAAAAGATGATTTTAAGAAAATATTATAAAATTAATATTAATGCGATTATTTCCAAAAAAATCATAATTCTCTATGGTAATAATCAGTAAGTCGTTAATTACTAACAATAATAAAAGAGTTCGGCAACTTTTACAATTATCATAACGACATCATTCAGTCAATGTGCATGTCCACTTCATCTTTTTTATTAGATACCACCAGTATTAACCATGGACGTGTATCCAAATGAGGAAGTTGGCGGAAGTGGTTGATGAATATGATGACGATGACTTGATGACGGCGGTGATGATGAATTAGCATTATTGGAGATAGGTGCTGGTAATCTAGTGCTTGAAAATGAGTCATAATGATGACGATTATGACCATTTGTAGATGAAGTAGTAGCAGCAGCAGCAGCAGTTGGTGTTGAATATGGAAACGAAGAGACAATATTTGGTAGTCGTTCGCCACTTGGTTTACGATTTAATAACGATGATGGGGAAAGAGGAGACGAAGAATTCGAAATATTTGAACCCGAAACATGACCATGATGATGAGAAGAATGAAAATACTCTTCATTTTGATGAATCGAAGAAGACGAAGGAGAAGGATGATAATTCTGTTGATGATGATTATGCTGTTGTAGCTGTGAATAAGTAGAAGAAGTACCATTTATGCTTTCACTACTGCTATTAAGTTGAGACCGTGAAAAGTAATCACCACCACCATTATTTCGATAATAGGATGATGAACTATCCAATGGCGAATCAGGCATCGATCGCTGATCTTGTTCCTCTTCATCCGAAGAACTCATACTAGAATTACTTGATCTTCGTCCCAGGTTATTACGATGCTCATTGCCAGTACTACCGTTATTATCATCGTTAGTGTCCATCTCTTCAGGATTCATTCCTTGATCGTCATCCCCTTGAGCTCCTCCATTAGTCGTTGATGCTCTTGTCTTACTACGCCAACTTTGCCGTTTATTCTGGAACCAAATTTGTACTGTACGCGGTGACATGCCCAGCTGTTTTCCTAGCTGAATACGTAATTCCGTTGATGGGAAAAACGTGTGTTGAAAGACTTCATTGAGAACTTTAAGCTGATTAGCATTGGCACGCTTGCGCTTCGCTTTGACCATCGATGCTCCATTTGACGGATCATGATATGGTGAGGATAAATGCTGAGGCATTGACATGTGCGGTGATGAAGCGTATCCATTATTATTATTGCTATTAGGATTAGCATTTGCCGCGTAAATACCAACACCAGCACCACCATACGTTGAATAAGATGATCCAGGAGATGTAACACGAGATGCCTCTAAATTTCTTGCTTGAGCTGCCGGAGAATCAGAATGACGTCTTTCCAAAAATGAAGAAGGAGGTAATCGTGCAGCGTAAGGATTCAATACAGAGGGTGTAAGTGGAGAATACCTCATCTGCGACGTATCAAAAGAAGATCTTCTTAATAAATGTTCGCGTTCATGCTCTTGTGAACTACCACCAACACTATTCTTTGAAGTCACATGTTGTTGTTGTTGATAATGATGACTATCTTCTGGGGATGATGATAATTCTGATACTTCTGGTTTTGCCAATCTCGGTGATTTTAAGGCTCTTTGTGAATCCGAACGTACAGCTTCAGAAATCGCAGCAAATTGGTCGAGAGGAGTCCATGACTTATGTGGTTCAGTGTGTAAATGAAGTGACGAGAAATGATTGTGATGATGATGGTGATGACGATGGAGATGGTGATTGTTGTGGTGGTGGTGATGATAATGTGGAGATGAAGATGAAGATGAATGTCTCGCTTCTGCTCTTAGATCCGGTACAGATGCAAAACTCCTTATTGGCGGTAGCACTAAGGGACCATTTGAGGAATGATCTTCGCTCATCCGCAGTCTTTTATGATGAGAGAGCAGGTTTGGCTCGTGATTATTATTGTGATGATGATTATGACTTTGTAGTCTATGACGTGCACTTAGTGGTTGATGTTGTAACGAGTAATGAGAATGAGAATGATGAAGAGTTTTAAAATATGAATTACTATTATTTTTTGTTGCTTCATTCTCAATATTATTGTTAATTGATGTGCTTGCACTTTTGTTGTTATCCTCGGATGACAGTGGAGGAGAATTAGCCGGAGTAAAAGGAGCACTTCGACCATTATTAAAAGATTGATTTTGCTGCGATCCAACAAAAGATTCATTTTCTCCTAACTGATTACTATTATTATTGGTAGCACTAGTATTAGAAGTAATAGTAGCGGACACGCCATCCATAACATCATCTTTGTCGTCATCATCATTAAAAGAAGCATCACTAACGGGTGAAGCTACAGAAGCCGAAGCAAAATCACACAGTAAACTAGAAATATCAAGAACTGAAGATTTCCTTCGAGGAAGAGCAGGTGGAGTAGGTGGGGCCAGTGTATTGAAATTATTATTATTACTTATTATTGTTGTAAAATTTCGAGGTGTTTCTTCGTTCCTTGAATTATTCAGATTTTCATGATTAGTGCTAGTGATATTGTTATTTTCGTCTCGACTAACAAATTGAAAATTTTCTTGGTTAATTCTTTCTTGGCGATAATCGTCGTCGTCTTCGGTCTCGTTGCTACTTGAAAAATTTTCCCTTGTATGAATGTTCAAAGAAATTTTATTAGATCCCTGCAAGTAACCATTACTACTAACAGTGGCAGCAGATTCCATTGGTTGTTGTTGTTGCTGTTGTAGTGACTGTTCTGGTTGTTCCGTGAACGCTGTTGATGATGTAGTTGAGGTAGTGGAAGTCATTGCAGTATTGTTGTTATTCATTGTTGCCATGTTATCATTGGCAGACGAACTCGTTATGGGTGTAAATGAAACCATTAAGAAGAGAAAAATTAGCTGTTTTTATTCTTCGATTTTAATTTTTCCTTCTTTTGCTGTGGACTACCACCAATTTTTGAAAAAAGCGGTAGTGAAAAAGACGTGAAAAATAACACGAGAGTTTACTAAAGTGAGTGTATGGGAAGTGGTGAGGATTGAGAAGTGAGTGGAAAAGTGTGTAAAAAATGGTTGGGAGTGGTTGTGTAGTATATATATATATATATACTACTTTACTTTTGTATGTGTGTATATGTATGTTTAGTAAAAATTTTAAGTTTAATAAATTTAAGTATTCTTTTTTTGTGTATACATGTATGTAGTATAATTATATTGATGCTATTTTTTTTGGTGGTTTCGCGCACACCAAATGATGATATAAAAGCTGTGTGTTTTAATGTAAGTCTGTATGTAAATGTATGTGCGAGATATTTTTTTGCCCACCTTTTTTCGTTGATTTCACTCGCTTTTCTCTATATGTAATAAATGTTTCTATTTCCCTCTCTAGGGTCTGTCTCTCTTGCAAAGAGATGAAGAATTAATGGAAGGCAGGTTACGACGAAGACAGGGAATGGATGGATGGAAAAAGATAAGCAATTATATTTGTAATTAATTAATTAAGAATGAGTGATGTGTAATAATTAGTGTAGCAGACCAAACGGACTAAATATATTGATAAATAAATATATATGTATAGATATATATAACGATGTCTTTAATGGATAATGAAATGCGGGAAACGGGAGGCGAGAAAAAAAATGCGCCTTAAGGGTCGAGAGAATGATGGATTTTATAGACAGACAAATTTTTTTTGATAAAGTATTTGGGTAATTTTTTAATAGCAATTAATAATTCCAATCTAATTAAATTATTGTTGTTTGATATCAATGTAATGATTATTATTATTATTACTATTACTATTATTATTATTATTATTAGAAATAGTAATAATAATAATAATAATAATAATAATAATTTGGTGATTTGATATGATTTGTTTGATAGTGGAGAAGAGTAAGAGGATTAAAAACTGTAAGAATGGTCCGTTCGTCTGTCCGGTGGAGGATAGACAGATAGAGAGTCTAATGATGGATATAATTTATTGGATAGTAATGTAATTATCTATCAATAGAAAAAGTCGTTGTATAAATAACAAACATTCACAACACGACACGAATAGATAATAAATAAATAAAATTAATTTAATTTAATTTAATATGTTGTGTGGTTTGTGTAATGTGTACTTTATTATTATTGTTTGATTTATTTGTTATGTAAGATTGGTAACGAAAAGTGGAAATGGGATTCGGATGAATGGGTGGATGAAGGAATTATCGAGCAATACGTAGTAACTTTTATCTGACTTGAATAAGATTATGAAACTAAGTGAAGACGACGATCCAGTTATGATTGGATTTGTTGCGTTTTATAAGTATTTATTAAATGAAAAACTGTATATCGGTAATGATTATTTTTTTTGTTGTAAGATATTTATATTAAATTAATTAATTAAAAAAAATATTTTATTAATGTGAGGATAAGTAAGGTTATTTTAGGGTATATGTATGTAAGGGTATGTAAGGGTGTGTGGTGTGTTTTTGTGTAAGGGGAAAAAATAAGGTGAGAGAGATCGATATTTTTAATGTAAGGAATTTTATGGGAAAAATTGGTTTGATTGATTTTTATTATTATTTAAAAAAGGAAACAAGTAAATAAATAAATAAATAAATAAATAATATATAATGAATAAACCAGTGGTAACGAAAACGTCAACGATATGTTTAGGTTTTTGGTGATCGAAGTGATGTGATTTTTTTTGGTACTTAAATGGGATTTTTCTATTCTTTTGGGATTTATTTATTTATTTATGGGTAATAATCAAACACGACCGCATGAATCAAATAGAATGAACTGAATGAATTAGAACGAACGGATAATGAATAATATTGCGTGATATGCGAATGTGAATGTGAAGGATTAATCGATGGGATTGTTGATGAAATACATCAAATAGAGTTGAATTGAATGAATTAGAATGACTAAAGTTTAAATACCAGTCTGTGCTTGTGTATTAGTAAAGTCGACGTAAACGTACCTCTTTCGAGTGGCTTGGTAGTTACACCTTTTTTTTTTCTTTGAATTACCGAAATTGGACGCGAAGGACCAACTTTTATTTATATTCGTGTGATACTGATCGATTGTTGCGAGAGTAAGAAGAAGAGAAGCACGAAAAGGAGGGGGAGCGAAAAAAATACAAAAAAAAAGGAAAATAACCGGAAAATCTTGTATTTTTAAGATTCTTCGTTATTATTATTATTATTATTATTATTGCTGTTTGGTTAATTAAAGAAAATATTAATTAATTATGATTATGTGTTGTGTTATTGATGTTAATATTAATAAACAGAGTGACGAAGGTCTTGATGATCGATGATGAAATTGACAAAGAAAAAATTATTTCTAAAGTTTCGCGCTTGTTCTCGTAATATTGGATGAGAAAATTTGTTTATTTGTGGTATAATGGCACGGCAGCAGCTGGTAATCAGCAGGCAAAGCAGCTGTCAAAAAATATTTGTGTATGATTTTAATTATTTAATAATAACAAATATTTACTTTTTTAAATAACAATAATAGTATTGATGATGATAATGATATTTTTTATTAATTGTCTTGTGCGACACATGAGAGCAGAAAGAGATGTGTTTCTATCTTATATATATATATATTTTTTTTAATAGTTTCTTATTCATCAATTAATTTATTCATTAATTTGAATGATGCTGATGATGGATGGGAAGGAAGAATGTTAATTTTTTAATCATTCTTCCAGTCAATTAATCAATATCACATTCTACTCACGCACTTCAATATATTTCTTCACCTAATGATGTAGTGGGTGATGGCAGAAATGGAAGTAACATTAATTATTAGTGTTAGAGAAAAGGAAGCAAGGAGTAGGGGCCAATTTTTTATTATGCATTGAAACTGATCGCTGATAATGGCGATGCATTAACCATATAAAGAATAATAATAATAATTATTATTAATTAAGTAGCGGCGGCAAGAGAAAGAAAGGAGTGATGCATAAAATTAGTGATGATGATAGTAGGTAATCGTATATTTCGTTGATTAAGAAGATAATTAATTAATGTGCAGAAATAACAGCAGTAGCATAGCAACTAAAGAAAAAGCATCGTGCGAAGACGAAAGGCGACGACAAACAATTATTATATTCTAGAGATGATCACTCATCCGTTCTTCCCTTGTTCATTATATTAATTATATCCATTAATATATTATTGCAATGTACATATATAGAATGCTAAAATATGCTTTTTTGCCCGAGAGAGGAAATGCAATATCATCTATGATCTAGTCGTCGTCAGTCGTAAGTGTTAATATGTGTGCAGAGAATGACTATTTACTTTGTCGGGAATTTAATTTTTTTTGTTTTGCATATATGTATGCATATATGTATGTATATGTGTTTGTACGAGTACTTTTAACTAATAGATCTGGGAAATTGGTATCTCCCACTTCATTTCCGCGGTACAAATTGTAGCTCTATTATTATTTAATGAAAGAATGTGCATGTGCAGCTGTGTATATACATACATGTCGCGTCACCAACGAAAAAAAAGGATCGGTATATATATATGCATGTCTAATTATTTACTCTTTTTTAAACACATGCAAGTAGTTAATATTTGGATATAGATATGTGTGTCTAGAGAATTGGCTGAGAATAATAAATAATGCAAGTACCAGGGAGTATTGAAAGAAAGTCTAGGGTTGTATGTGATCAGTTGCGTATGTAGGGTTGATATGTGTGTGTGTATGTATAGTGGGTGAATATCAGGGTGGGTTGTGCGAAAATTTGAGATTCAGTAGTTGGAAAGCGAGCACATGAAGATTCATCGTACAGCGTTTCGATTCACGTCCAGGAATATTATTAACGTTTCTATTGCATCATATATTTGGTTAGATTTATATATAAAGTTGTTTGTTTGTTTGTTTGTTTGTTTGTTGGTTGATAAGATTATATTAAAAAAAATAGCTTGTGAGTTTTTAGAAGAGAGGAAAAATTACATTACACATCCAAATATATGGATGTGATCATTTAAATACTGGTTTTTATTGTATTAGTTTGGGCAAGAAGAATTTAATTTCCTTCAAATGAATTGTTATTTCTTTAATTACTTAATAAGGAATGCATAAAAACACCCCCAAAATTATCTCTATATTTTGACTTGTTCTGATTTGTCTAAAAAAAGGATAATGGAAGATAAAGAGAAATTACCTGTTCACCCGTATTTGATTTTAAAATCAAAATTAAATTCAACATTTCGTGAATAGTAAATACAGAGAGTTCACAGCTGGTGATTTACAGAACCAACGAAGTTGGATTGCGGATTAGAAACCCAATTTCCAAAAATTCGAGATATGTGGCTTTCTTTCATTTTTTTAAAAAAAAAAGCAAAATCACTTGTCAAAAAAGGAGCTCTTACTTATTTCGACGATGCAGTTTTAATAAAATGAAATTCCTACGCGTAAATCCTTTTTTACCCCACAAAATGGCCCCTGCATTTCTTTCTTTGATGTTGCCTTGGTGCCAACAACTGGTTACCCGTTACACATATTAAGTTACGAACTAAATATATATAGCGTCGTGACACGGTGTGTAAAAAATCCGGTCTCGATTGTGCAATTAATTAAATACATTGTTTACGATTATTAGCAACTGTCGAGAGTGTTTACCGAAAAAAAAAGTAAAGCTTAAATGCAGAGAAAGAAATCAAAAAAAAGGAGATGAAATCAATTTACTTTTATGTATAATAATACATTGATAAAGTAAATGACACAACGCGTCTTTATCTCGATAGCAGGACAGGCGTGCATTATCTAAATGGTATTCAAAAGTTTAACGAAACTATAAAACGCCTATTTAAGCTTAACTTGATGAACGAGCAGATTCTTTGTTTTAGTTATCACGTGAAATATTTAACATACTTTAAAAAAGATTTTATATTATAAAGCACTGACTAAATACTCTCTCCCTTGAACACTAATTGGTTCATTTTTTATTTATTGTATATTTTTTTTTGCAAAATGAATAATTCAAGATTCACGGTGTGATTTCTTCGAAAATTTATGTTACTAAAACAATAGCTTCGAGGTTAAATTATGGTTTAAATTTCCTACAAGGAGGAATACTATACTCGGCGCTTTACGGTATCTCATAAGTTATTTAACCATTCCCCAAACTAAAACCTATTTGATGAGCGATTAGATCTCAATATAAAGAGTGGAAACTTGTTCAGAAACAGGTATCGAATACGAAGTAACGATGCTTATGATATAGAGCATTGCATGATTAATAGCCACTTTCAGAAACAAAATAAATTGCGCAGACACTATCGGTTATTTTAAAAAAAAGAGAATGGTATTTTATTGGTTGTAAACAAAGATGATCATATACATAAACGTTCATAGACTTGTTAGGAAGTTATCAAAGCATCAAAAACATGTTTTTCGAGTTTGTATGCGAAAATAATCATAGGTCAATATATTACAGATTTTAATGCTATACTCTATCGCCATGCTCTAACCTAACCCTAACCCTTCTCTGAAATTTTTATACCATAAAAAAAGAGCCAAATTTTATTTTGATTTGATTTTATTATAATTGATTTCATTTTAATCTGGTTTCGTTTTAATCTGGTTTCGTTTTAATTGTCACAATAATTGTTGATGATGATAAAAAGGCAAACTCTCATTTATCTTTTTTCCTTAACCATATTGTATCTGGTTTCTTCCTATTTTTTATCAATAAAGAGTGGTCGTCATAGTCGTGAAGAAGAAGAATGATTTGTTACATCACCTTCTGTTCTTATTTTTCTTGTTCATAAATGTCACCAAAGTGAATGCAACGATAACTGCGTATAATAAGAAGTCAAATATGGATGCATGAATTTGTATTATATTTGTTGTCAAAAACCTGTATTACATGTGCATTCATGATCAAGCTCAAGCAAAACGTGAATACAGTGCAAGTCGATATAACAGACTCTCTTTAGAAAAGTTAAACCTTAATTTAGTCAATTATTCTTTGCAAAATATAATAAATTAAATTAAGATTCACAATGCAATTTCTTAAAATTTTTTTTAATGGTCTTATGGTTTAAGTTAAGGTTTAAATTTTCTAGAGTCCGTTATATCGACTTGCTCCAAAAGTTAAACAAATATGATGCGCTGAAAATTTTGCAGATCATTACTTATGATTGGTCAGATTTATTATTAAAAATCCTGAAAAAATAGTCAAAATTATTGGATGTCTTTAAGCTGCTCGCCACCATAGCGACAAAATTCAATAGAAAAAGGAGGACATTTTTATTTTATGTCACTGGTTAGATATACCCTAGTTTTATTATACTGGTTAAACTATAACCAGTGGCAAATTTGAATAATAATAATACATGTGTTATATAAGTATAACGCAAGTTCGATTCAGTAATGCTATGAAATATTGTACATTATAGCTAATATAAATTATAGAATAATTGCATGGGATATTGCATAATAATAATAAAACTTTATTCAATAGTTTCTTTTTTAATAAAAATCAATATTATGTCATGCTATAACGCACATGAACATTTTTCTTCGTTGCATAACAATTGTCCGTGTTCGTTCCTGCAAATTTTATTAAACATTCCGAGAACTCGTTCAAAACACGGGGAGGTTAATTATAACAAGTTTTTTTTATTTAAATATTACGTTATCGAATTTCTATACTCGGTCACCATTCCGGAAAAAGTCAAAAGAAAAATCTAACGCTAGCGATAATCACAGTATTTTAAGGCAATCGAAACAAAGGGAAAAATAATCGTGTTTATGTGTGAAAATAAAAGATGTTTTTTTTTTTAGTTCTCAAATAGCCATTTATTCTTGCCAATATGGGCGTGAAACGGTTACTATATATATTCATTATTTGCTTTCATAATCCTTGAATCCAACATCTTTCTTGAAATCCACATGTTTGTTGTTTTGATACTAGATCTTGGAGGCAGTATCATATTTCTCTGACAACTCCACCGTGGACATTCCTGGCAATAAATGTGTTATTGATCTTTTCAATTATATTATTACTTATGACCTCATTGGATCCGCACAATTAATCTACGCGAACTAATTTACGAGATAAATATAATATTGTTCTGAAAGACATCATTATGCTCCCAAAACAAATCATTTTACATTAGAACTGACTTATGTCGGTGACTCTTTCGAGAAAAGTGAATATATAACAGCAGAATGCTTGCTTTTCAGGTTTGCTACTTTTATAACAGGATATATATCACAGATAAAGAATTATAATGTTTGTCTTAAATTCCCGGTTAAAATATTCATGCCAAACTTTGGAGCAAGTAAATTACCATCATCAATTCATAATCTGATCCATCATAATTCATAATGATGATGTAAATCTCGAATACTCCGAAAAATCTGGGAAATTATATTGAAAAAAAATCCCGCAGTTAAAGTGCCATTTTCATGACGTAGTCAGTTTGGTTGGCTATTTAACAAGCACCTAAATTTTTTTCTGCATTTCTAGTAGAGTAGCCAAGAATCAAACGTTCTCGCAGCCACACAAAAGCAAAAATGCCACCAAAATCTAAACAAAATTCTGTCAAATCCAACAGTAAAAACAAACCAACGTCCGCTAGTAGCCAAAACATCAACGATAACAGCAAACCACCTATGGAGAATGCCACAGCCGCCAACCAGCCACCTCTCGTAGCTGAGAAGTCTTCTGCACCGCCGGTGAGCAATGTTTTGGCACCAGCAAGCAAGGACGAACAAATTGGAGCGGAAAATGTTAATAAAAACCCATATATTGACGTAGTTCAGAAGAGACTTCGATCGTTGATTAAGCGACGTGTGAGTATACACGCATCTTGGGGGCTGTTCAAATCGATGCTTATAGCAATTGTTGACCATTACTTGAAGTATTTGCGTATGGGATCGAACAAAAAGTTCTTTTGTTGAATCATTCCATATTGTTGGCTCATCTAACTTGGGACTTCCATTCAAACTTTCCGAGACGTATTCAAAGAATCTAGACTAAATCTTTCATTTTATAATTTCCTCTTCCCACAGGTGAAATATCTTCAATGCGAGGAGATGTTGAAGAACGGAAATCAGGCACTAAACCAAGATCAAATTCAAGCATTGGAGCGAAAAAATGAAGTCGAATTCGCCATCCAAGAATTCGAATCAATCATCAAAAACTTGAATGCGGTCGAGAATGATGTTTGTATTTTTTACTGTGTCTGATATATTACCATCAATTAAACGAGTTTGTAAAAACTGATTTTTTTTTCTTAACAATTTTGAAATGAATAGGAGCTCAAGAGCTTGAAAATGCAAAAGAAGGTTCAAGAAACTGAGCGTGATGAGGCCGTTGCAAAGGCGGTTAAAGAAACGGAGGTAATTGTTGGTTGGAATTCATGATCACGAAGAAATCGAAAATTAACAACGTCTTTATCTATATTTCAGGAATTCTACGCGAGTTCCATTATTAGTCTCCTTCAATTCTTCCGCCTAGTACATTATCAAAACGTCAGCATCGTTCAAATGTCAGAAATTGAAAACGAGGCGGTCACCCATTTCCGCGATTTACTTAACCACCTCGCAGGAGACGCCCTAATAGAGGAGAAACGAGAATCAACAGTCCGTGAAGTACTAGCCCACGTCAAAAAATTGCACCAGGGAGATGATGAAGTTGTGCATCGGCCAGTGTCCAATAATGAAGTCGAAGAGGAGTCCGGTGGTGGAATTTCATGTGGGTATTTTTCCTTTTTTTTTTTTTTTGGTATTTAAATTTCTAGATATTTAAATTCACTTTGTGATTTTAATTTTTCTGTAGATTCTAACATCCACTCACTTGCCATCAGTCCACCAATAGCGGAGAACTTGGACGAGACTCTCAGTACTGTGGAAACGGTCCAAGACACCACCGCCGAAGAAATAGTTACTGTTCAGCAGAATAATGTTCAAGCAGATCATGCTTATTCTGAGGATATTGAAAGTATGTATATGTGTGATGATATTAGCGTGTATAGTTTTATTCATTATTAATTGGATATTTTAGTTGTCGAAACTCGCACCATGCCTCCTGGTGGCTTCAAGTTTATGGTTACTCCAGACAATTTAACAGGTTCGTATTTATTATTGTTATTTGATCTATAAATGTAAAGTTTTTTTTTATTAATTACTATTTGTACAGGTGACAGAGTTCCAAGTATTAATGACAACAATACTACACAATTCAACAAAAATCCGTCAGAAAATTTCGATGAAAATCAACCACCATTCTTACAAATCACTGAACATCCACTAGTCTTCCAACATCCACCTCGCCCGACCATCGTTGAACAGCAGCAAATACTTCCTCCTCCCCAACAAGTACTTCCTCTTCCCAATAATGATCAACTACAACACGAAAATTTCACCGTTAACAACCTTCAAAATATTGCATCGATCCCCACCCAAGCAGAAGAAACCCTTTCCCAAGTCCAGGAATCGTCAACCACCACCCAACAAATTGCCCTTCAACACCAACAAATATCATCTGTAAATATAAATAATGATAACATTTTAAAGCAAACCACCACCACAATATCTCAGAAATCACATGAACAACCAAATTCACCAAACCAACCCCCTAAATCAGTTTCGGCGAATAATTCTACTGATAACACTATTCATCCAACATCAAACTACTCGCCAAAGTTGCCGGAACCACATATTGTAAATCATACTTCACAACATCACATTCCAGAAGTAAATCATTCATCACATAATAGCAATTCGCCAAATTCGGTTCACATCGTTGCTGAACAAAATCAACATAATCAAAATGTAGGCGAAAAACGTCGGGATCCGCGACCAATTGCCGCCGCCCCCTCATCTTCACATCCAAATCCTCACCCAAAAGATGGTAACAATTCGAGATCAGAAGAACGCCGCAACAGCAATCCGATACAACGACGTAACAGCAATAAACGATACAGCAATCAACAGCGCCAAAATGATCGTCGACAAAATAATTACCAAGCACAAAATGGGCAAGAGAATTTCGGACGAAATGGATCACCATCCAGAATTCAACAAACAGATTCGCAAAATCCGGCTCCCTCGCTACCACAAGCACCACAAAATCCTGCAAACCAACCAGCTGCCCAATCGAATAATCCGAATAATCCAAATAATCCACCTGTGAATCCATTAGTTGGATATCAACAACAACAACAATCTGCCTTCCCTCCTCCAAATAATAATAATAATAATAATAATAATAACAATAATAATAACAATAACAACAACAATAACAATTACAATAACAGAGGCCAAGGACAATATCGAAATTCATATAGAGGCAATAATAACCGAGGGGGCTCTTTCCGAGGCCAAGGCGGAAATAACAATCAAGGTCTTCGGCGTGATGGAAACTTCCGCGAAGGCAACAACAGTGGAAATTATCAAAATGGTGGATATCGCAGCGGACGTGGAGGAAGTTTCAACCGAAACAGCGCTGGATATCAAGGTTGGTTTCTTTCGTTTGATTATCTTAGTATTGTAAATTTTTTTATATTTCGAGTTAATCATGTTTTCTTTTTATTAGGCGTCCGAAATGGCAACAATGCCTCTAACAACAACACCTTCAAACACCAGGCACAAGTTGGAGTAAACGCTCAGTAGAATAAAAATTGGATACATGCTCGATATTTATTTTGATTAAAAAATTTGTTTGATTTGCTAAAAATAGAATTCTTAATAATAATAATTAGTAATTAATAATCATTAACAAACGAACAATTTTGCTTCTTTTAACTACAATTCATTTAAATGATAGTTAATTAAATTGTCGATTTGTTGGTTTTGCTAATTAGCATTGGGGCAGGTCTCCATCAAACAGAAAAATAAAAATAATAAAGATCTGTTGTTGCTGTATTATTCTTGTGTTTAGATTGTTCAGCCCAATACTTGATACATAAATATTCGCTGTAATATCCTTGCCTATTTCATTCATTCATAAAGTATTAAATTATGAGCACGATCGATGACACACAACCTGAACTTGAACTAATACAACAAGAGAGAGAATCAAGTCCTACATTATCGGCCAAAGCGAAGGGTAAGGGTAGAGCCATCGATGTAGAAGAGGAGGAAGAATCAAATGGGCAAAACATTTCAGCTTCTCTTCCAACACCACCTCCAGAAATAACAGTAAACACAACTGAGAATACTGCTTCAAATTCACCCGAACAACTTAGTCCAAGAGAAGAACGAGGAGCTACAATAACAAACGAGACTAGTCAGGTTGCTACTGAGTATCACTTAAAAGCTATAGAGTGGTTTGACATCACGACGGGAAAGACCAAACAGCTGAAAGTCATTACGCAGAACGGTAGGAAGGAAATGTTTTGATAATGGGCGTGGAGGTGTGTGTTCGCGTCGCTTTCGAAAATCAGGGTGTCTGTCCTTTTACTTGGCTAAAACTGCATAGATTTTTCTTTCAAGTTCTTGTTATATATTTATTTATTAAATTACTAATAAATTTGTTTTTCGTTTTCGATCGTTTAGAAAATGGGCCGTGCCCTTTACTTGCACTTTGTATCCTTTGCATCATTTCATTGAGAAATAATATATATATATATATATATATATATATAAATTTAGTGCGATTATTTAGATTTCTTTCATCATGATTAACACAAATAATATAGGCAATGTTCTTATATTACGTGGCGATATTGAAATTCGACCATACGATCGTCCAAGTATCACATATGAATTACTGGTGGAAATACTGGGTGATTATTTGTTGAATTCAATTGCAAAGGGAGAAGCAGAGGTATAAAGACAATCTATATATAATTTATTTAAAGAGGTATGTATTCCCACTGATTACATACAATTGGTTTAGATAACGAGCAAAAATGACGAAAATAATGAATTGCAACAACAATCGCGACAAAAACAACCATCATCATCATCATCATCATCATCATCATCATCATCATCATCATCGAAATCAGAGCGATCGACAGAAAAAAACGCAAATGGCTCGAAATCATCATCAAAACTTGGAATACAGCCATCTGTATATGATTATCATCATACACTGAATACAGCACTGTCCATTATTCCGTCTTTACAAACCGGATTAGATGTAAATGTAAAATTTAATTCGATATTTGGATTTGAACCCACTGCCGAACTATCGGTCTTTGATGTGTTTAATGTGGACTTGGTGCATGGTTGGGTGGTTGATCCGCAAGATTACAATACTTGGGATGTGGTGGTGGAAAAGTGTGGTAGTTATAATCGTGCAGTTGAGTGTGTAGTTCAAGGGGATGCGACTAGTAAAGGACTTGTGGTGGAGAGTTTGGATAATGGGGCAGGTGTTGGAAATTCGACGAATGCAAATAGAGATGGGGTTTTTAATGCTGACGAAAGAGATGGTAATAAACTTGATACATATTCTTTGTTTCAAATACTATTTACATGTTTTTCTTTTGATTATAGCATTGATTGCATCTCAGTTTCTGATTTCGACTGCCACACAATTGACGTATCATGGATTACAGACCTTAGTAGAAGATCTACGACCTGGCCATCTTTGCGTATTATTCAGAAATAATCATGTGAGTTTAGCTTGAGTTACCTTTCCCAATCCATACATATTTGACTTTTTAATATTTTTATTTTAATATATTGTTAGTTTTCTACGCTATATAAACATTCTGAGACTTCAAGTTTATATGTTCTTGTAACTGATGCGGGATTTATCAATGAACGTTCCGTAGTATGGGAAACATTAACCGATGTCGACCAAAGTAATGCCGAGTTCTTGACTGCGCAGTTTCGTAAGGGCAAGGTTGTTGGCGATTATGTCGATCTTGTAGAAGAACAACAACAGCATGAAGTAACAGGCGGTGGTGATCAAGAGTAAGAATTTTGTTCCTATTTCACAATAATATCAAATTTTGGAGAATCCTTGATTTGAAGATGATCATTAAAGTAATAAATGATATTTTTCATAAAGTTATGCTCTCGCTCTAAGCCTTCAACAACAAGAAGAAGAACGTGAAGCACAATACCTTCGCCAGCAAAACAATGAAAATCTCATGATTCAAAAACGAAAGGAACAAGAACAAATACGGTATCAGCAGCAACCACAAAAAAAAGGCCATAGAACTTATTCGGGCGGGCAACAGCAACAGCAAAATCATAATACGCCATCTGATAATATATCGCATTCATCTACTGGAAGTTCCATTGATACAGGATCGAGAGCTTCATCGGAAAAGGAAAGAAAGAAAGCAAAAAAGAAGAACGATTGTATCATTTCGTAATGGATAGGTTGGTTATGGGCGAGAAAATTTACTAGGTGACACACACAATTAATTCAATTATTCAATCACTTGCTATTCACCTTATTATCAAAAATCAAAGTTTTTTGATTTTATTTTTAGTTGTTTTATTTATTTATTGCTGTTTTGTATCGTTACATCATCAAATTTTGGATACGATTTTTAAAAAATAAATGATTGCTATAAAGAATTTTTGCATGCTATCGAATCGTGGTCTCGTTTGAGTTTATATTTTTTCCCTCTCAGAATCTTACAAAGATGAAACTCCTGTGGTACGGATCGCAGCATTAAGCTTTATATCGGATGTATCCTCCAAGAGAATATCTTTTGAGTTGGTTTCATTTTCGCTCTTTTTTAAATTTAAAGAATAGAGAACTTGGCAGTTTGCTTTTTCTTTATCTCCCATAATTCCTTCATATAATTTGTGGGTTTCGTGTGTTGATAATTCCACGTACTCTCAAGACCATTGTAAAAGTTCGGAAGTAAACTGATTATCAGACTCATTTATATAATCCAGCAGCTGATTATCATCATCACTAACGTTAGATAGTCCAGAAACTGAATTATCATAAATGTCGACAGATTATCATACTCGTTCATAGAATCTCCCTGTGTTCTTGTTCTGTCCTTCCGCAGGGAGGTGATATTTCGTGATTGTCTTCTTTTCGGTGCGACTTATAATTTTTGCGTTCCATAGGACAAAGATAATTGCCATCATCATCAGATCTAGTTGATTTGCGCCGTATTTGGGTACTATTTCAGATTTACTCATCTGTGATGTACTGTCTTCACGTAGTGATACTGTCTCAATAATATCGATGTTATCGGTAAAAGCATCACCAATAGCAGAGCTGTTATTACGGTCGTTATTATCATCATTACCGTAAACTTATGAAATCCATCTTCATCATTATCATTAGTACTGGCTGACGATACTATTTCTTTTACCGAGATTGTCATAAATTTGGCTGTTTCTCGCATGTATGTCGCCCTGATGGTCCTGACGAGGCATTGGCATTGTTTGTATTAGTGTAAATTCAGCAATTTCGTCGCTTAAACTTTTAACACAACTCCACGCTTAGTACATCCTACACAAGATTGATTGTTTGAGCCAATATTGTATTCTTTTGAAGAGTGCGCGCGTTAAAATTATAAACTTACATGAAGTCCATCTTCATTATCACTAGTACTGGCTGACGAAACTCCCATATCTTGTACTGAGGTTGTCGATAAATTTGACAAGGCATTGGCATTAACATTAGCATTGGTGAACATTAGCGTTAGCGTTGGTGTTGGCATGTCACAGATTGAATTAAAGGGCTTTATCGTAGTTTTTTCAGCCCGTAAGAGATAAATAAATCATATTGTTCAATTTAACTCTTCTCTTGTTTTGCGAAGAGCTGTGCGTAAACGTGTACAAGTTAACGAAAAAAGGAGAAATGATTATTGTTGGTAGGAAAAAGAAAAAGGGAGTACAGTGCATACAAGCTAAAATCAACCACAAAATTTCAAGCTCTTACTACTTTTTTTAAAAAGATGTTTTTAATTAA